AGCAGAGATTATTTCTGCGGTAGACTTTTTCTGACATTTACTTTGTAGTTCACATAGGTATTTATTTCTGATGTTATCTTTTTGGTTTTATAAGCAAGTACACAGCTGACATGAAAATGTTGACGTCAATTCTAAATATGCAATACATAATAAGAATTTAATACTTTATTTTATTGATATCTTATGTTGAAGTTAACTACATCGTGTAATCCAATAAGAACCTCCTGACAAAACAGGGGGACCAGCAAGATGTCAAGTATGTCCAACAAAAAGGCCAGGAAAGGACAACACATATGCTGTCATTGTAAGCCATACGTGTGTATGGAATGTGCTGCTGTCATGAGTGAAGACTGCCTTAGGTGTTATAATTGAAGTAAGGATTATTTTGTAGTGTTCTATTGATATTTTCATTGTAGTTCATATAGGGGTTCATTTCTGTTGTCATTCTTTAGACTTTGTACACCAAAAATAAGTCAATGTTGAAAATTGTTATGCTTTTTTAATACTCGATAAATATTAAAAATTTAATATTTTATTTTTTGATATTTTTCCTGTTAATTACTCATTGCTTGATAACAATAATTCACCAATGGAATTGTTCTAAAGAGTGGAAGTGGGCATTACATGCCCACAACAATGTGCCTTTATGACACAATTGGCGTTGCTCCCCATGGGTTTAACAGAACAGGTCTTCTCTTCTCAGGGCTATAGCCCCCCGCTGTCTTTGGCTTCCACTTTCTCTTCTCTCTTCTCTTCTTCCTAAGCCCGTTTGGCCCTTGAGGTTCACATCAGGCTTCCTCTGCCCTGAGGAGCTCCTCATTCCCACTGCCTGGCTGCTTTCCCTGTTTTGTGTTTTTCATGTTTTATGCATCTATGTGAAATGATTGTACTGTTCCCACTGCTGGCTTCATCTTTCCTCCTTGGAGTCTTATACTCCTGAAGAAAAGAGCATTTCCTGTGTATCTACATCCGTGTTCATCCTCTGCTTCTTCAGGGTTTCCTTAGCTTCAGGTTTCCTTACATGAAACTTCTCAATTATGTATTCTCTCCAGCATTGCCCTCTTACAGTCTGCCTTAATGTTATGATGGTCAGCTTCTGTTGGCTTGTTCACACACTCACACACACTCAACTCACTCACACTACTCCTGTTGTTCCCCAGGGAGTACAGAATATGGTCCTCATTCCTAAGGAAAGTGAAGCCTGGAGGTTTTCAACTTGACCTTAGCTAAAATTTCTTCTCCCTCAAAAACCTTCTTTCTTTGCTTTCTTTTATTCTTATCTTCTTAACTCTATCTACACCAAAGATGCAGGTCAACTATATTTTCAGTGTTATCTTGGATCTGACTTGTCCCAGCTCATGAGAACTGATTACTAAGTTTTTCAAAAATGTGTAATCCAGTTGTAAACATAGCTATAACTAGAGATTAAGTCATACAAACTTACAGCTAAATCAGTGTGAGAAATAGTAATAAATGTTTAACATTCATCACTATTATTTTTTATAGTGTTGCCTATTTTCTAGATATATCTATATGACAGAAATATTATAAGTAAGGTAACATTTGAATGATAATTTTAAGTATGCATGTATATGTATGTATCTATCAATGGATCTAGTCTTCCCAATTCCATATTTTATGAAATCATGATTATATTAGCCACTATAATATATTTATACTAAGGAATCTGACAAGCACTGCAAGAGGTTTATTCCTCCTGAAAAAGATTAATTAAAAATGCAGCAGCTCATATCCTCCTGTAGCAAACTTTCCCTCAGTTGTTCTTCCCCTCCCTTCCCTTTTGTTTTATTTTCTTGGCTCTCTTTGTTAAAGCACACTTTCTATAAATTTTTCCAACTTATTCCAGAAATTTTTTTCTATTTCTTTGTCACCATACTTTTCTTTGGTCTTTCGTGGACACATGGATTCGAACCCTGTGGACATGTGCACAGGTTTCACTTGCTTATTATTAATCACCCCAGGGCTTAGCAGCACTGGATTGCAGTATGCGGTGAATAATTTATTGTCAAACCAATGAACACCAGTTCTTGGGTGTCCAAAAAAGTACAGAAAACTGACCCTTCACACCCAATTGTCCTCAAAGTAATTTCCCAACTTCATTTTTCTTTGAAGGCCAAGGTCAAATATCCCCATTTTCACAATGTCTAGGTACTTGTCCAACCTCTTGAAATCCTATGTGGAGACATGGTGGATCTGGAGTTTGAGGGTCCTTGGGGTCCGGGAGATGTGGTTGAAGGAAGTTGTGATGATCATGGAGGTGTGGGAGCGACGTCAGAGACAAATGCTTCCTCCATTCAGAGATCTGTTCCTGTGGGCTCCCAGTAGAAGCATCGCAATTTAGAATAATTTCTGCATTCTGGTGGAATACCTGATCTTTCAGGAGAAGCATAAAGGATCTGCAGACAAAGGTTCAGCTGAAAATTTTATTGACATAATCTATTATTAATAAAAGATGGCTTGTGGGTGTCTTTCAACTCAACAAGAATAGAACATTTATTTTCATTATATATATTTTGTTCTCATTTCAAAGCAGTACACGGTGATTGGCAGTAAATCCATAAATTATAAACAAACATTATCAATCGCCATTCAAGAGAACTCATGTTAAAATGACAAATGTTTCATTGTCATTTATTTTACATGCTTGAGTAATTTGGCATATACAGCTTTGACCATAAACAGTTTGGATCATATGGATCTTTCTTCTTTGTCATAAAGAAATACATATATCTCTCTATATATAAATTTAAGTAAATGAGTATAATACCCAATCATGTTGGTTTAGTGGAATGTCCTAAAGAAACATTTATCTTTAAATGATCTCAAGATATTTTATCATTATAAATAACACTTCAGTGAACATGTTAAAGCATGAGCCATCAATAAGTATGAGCTTGTCAGTGTTTTATCAAACCTTTAAATACTTCCTCACTGTGTAATATATTTCTTCCACCATTCTTGCCACTTTCTGAAACAGTTCTGGAAGACATTATATTCCCATTAGTAAAAGTGGGATTTTTTGGGGGGGCCTCATATCCTCAACAGGAATGGGAATTATCAATTTTATGCATTTCAGTCATTCTAATAGTGGTGTAGTTCTTCTAACTTTTACTGATAGATTATCTTCATAATAAAAGGTTTAAAAAAGAAAGATGGAGATGCAGTTCAGTGGCAAAGCTTCCCCAGGTTTGATTCTCAGTACTGCAAACAAGAAGAGAGAGAGAGAAAAAAAGAAAAGTCTACCTTACTGTGTTAATGATCAATTTATTTATCCCAATTTTGTGAAATAGTTAACATATTTATTGCCCACCTGCATATTTTATTTTCTAATGCACCTGATTATTTTAAACACAGAATTTTTAAAATTAATTGAGTTTTAAGAATTATTTGTACCTGCTAAGTTTTGCAAATATTTTCTCTTGGTCTATGGCTTTTTTTTTTACCTTACTGTGTTAATGATCAATTTATTTATCCCAATTTTGTGAAATAGTTAACATATTTATTGCCCACCTGCATATTTTATTTTCTAATGCACCTGATTATTTTAAACACAGAATTTTTAAAATTAATTGAGTTTTAAGAATTATTTGTACCTGCTAAGTTTTGCAAATATTTTCTCTTGGTCTATGGCTTTTTTTTTCTCATTCTTAAGTATTTTTCAAAGAGATAAAGTTAATTTCAATTAAATCCAAATTGTCAAATTTTCTCTTAGTGTTCATCTTTTTGGTGTTTTACCTAAAATCTTACTCTCAAACACTAGGTCATATAGATTTCTACTAGGTTTTCCATCGCCAGCATTCTTATTTTGCATTCCTATTTAGGTCTGTGATCCATAGTTGCTTTTTGTGTAAGAAGAAAGAAAGTTCTATATCTAAGTTCATTTTGTTTGTTTTTGCTGTTGATGCTTACTTTTTCAAGTAAAATCTATTGAGAAAACATTTTGTCACTTAATTCCCCTTTTTAAAAAATCATTTAGTTCTACTGAGAATCCACTTCTGAGACTCTATTCGGAGTCATTCATTCATCCATTCTCTCCCCAGTACTGTGCAGTCTTCCTTATTCACACTTTAAAACAAATCTCAAAATGTGAACTACATGTTCCTCAGAATTGCATTTCTTTACTATATTTGTTTTTTGAGGTCGTTGGCCTCATCATATATTAAAAACGAATTTGCTGATATATGCAAAATGACTTCCTGGAGTTTTGATTGTTGTATTGAAGGCATAAAAAAATGGGAAAGAGTTGACATTTTAACCGAAACTTCCAGCCTATGAATGTCTATTTATTCCAGTCTTTGAATTCTTTCCTCTGTTTCGAAGTTTTGTGCAAACAGACCCTACACATATTTTGTTAAGCTTTTGCCTAAGTGTTATCACTTTATAGACTATTACAAATGCTTTCCTGTTTGTACAAGTTTAAATTCTAATATTTACTTCCATTACACAAGAGAACAATTGACTTTCGGTAACAATCTTCTAGTCTGCACCACAGACTCATTTATTACTTCTGTTAAGTTATGCTTTACTTTTCTCATCACTTCATTTCCTGCTCTGTGTTAGGCTGGTTTGCTCTCCTCTATTGTGATCATGTGGAAGGTGAGGCTGTGAGTATGGGTATGTCTTTCTAGGTAGATCATTTCCTTTACCTATATTTCTTCAATTTCCATTTGCTTCTGGCCTGTGTTAAATGCCTTATACCTGAAACAGCTCTCAATATCTCACAAAGGACAGACGCTGTCACTTTTGTTCTTGTTCCTCTGTGTTTCATCTCTCCCACTCTGGCTTTAGGCACTTTTCAGGATTTTTCACATTGTCTTTGGGTTTTCTGGAGTTCCAACACGATCTGCCTATGGTTTTGTTTTATTTTAACTTTGGTATTTTTCATGTTCTCAGAGTTTCCTGAATTTTGCTTTGGTTGTATCTGAAATTAATCTTACCCCTTCACATGTTTGCTCCACTCTATCTTCTCCAGCTGATTTTTCTGGTTTGAGGCCCCAAAAATAATACATACAAAATATGGCATTTTGGGTCATTCGCTGAGCAGTTGGATATGAAATGAAGAGGAAATGAAGAGGACCTACAGGTAGGCTTGGGTCTGCGGGTGCTCTGACCCTGCACTGTTTATCCCTTTCAAGTGTACACACAGCTTTCTGCAGATTCCTTTATCTGCCTAAAACCTAGAGGACCTGCCCCAAAGCTTCACATATCTCTGGTCCCTTCTCCGAGTTTTCATTAATTCATCTTGTACCTGATGGGGAGTGAGAGGTACCTTTGATGAGGAACTAAAACCTCCATTCAGCACCAGGCAGGTCCTCCACATCTCAGCACAGAAAAGAGTCTGAGGACGTGTGAGTGAGGAAAGCAAGCTGATTTATTAGTCGGAGTTAGCAAGTGAGAGAAAATGGGCAGGGAAAAGAGTAGACTGGAGGGTCAGCAAAGGGGAGAGAACAGCTTTTCTGGAGCTGCTGGGTGGGCTGCTGTCTAGCTGACCATTATTTTAGCCCCTTTTTGCAAGATGGCCCCAAGGAAGTCCCCAGTGGGGGCCCTGAGGTCGCATAGGAGAACTGCTGAGCTTTGTTCCCATGGAAGGCTAACTAACAGTCTCACCGGGAAGAGAGACGACATGTCTGTACACCAGGATGGATTTTGTCACACACACACACACACACACACACACACACACACACACACACACACATCATCTCTCAGCCTTACAGAGAATCATTTACACTGCACTGTCATTATCTGTTCCATGGGCTCAGTAGTGCTTGTCTCAGCCACTGCACGTTATCCAAGCCCGCTGATTTCTTTGGAATCATTGCCTATTCCTCTAAAAGTTGCAGCATTCTTCATTTCCCCCTCTTCTAAAGAAAGAAGGGGTATATAAGTTTCTGAACCATATTGGATTAGTGGGTAACAGCCCTTCAATCATTTTCTTCTTTTGGACATGAGTACACTTGCAGATGAGTAAATTAATGTGTGCGGTTTGTGCTTCTTACTCTATTCCAGTGGGTCTTCAGAAAACAGAGGGAAAATCTTCTTCACCACCCTACACTGCTATTCTAATTACATATATTTTGCATCTTTTGATGTTGCCCCAGCATCCATGTTTGTTTTCTTCTGGCATTAGATAGTAGTAGTAGTAGTAGTAGTAGTAGTAGTAGTAGTAGCAGTAGTAGCAGTACTAGTATGTTTTCAGTCTGCATTTCAAGGTGGCAAGTTTCTGACTTCAACTAGTAGTAGTAGTAGTAGCAGTAGTAGCAGTAGTAGCAGTAGTAGTAGTAGTAGTAGTAGTAGTAGCAGTAGTAGTAGTAGTAGCAGTACTAGTATGTTTTCAGTCTGCATTTCAAGGTGGCAAGTTTCTGACTTCAACTCTTATCTCTTCCTGGCTGTGCCAAATCTACTGATGAGTTCATTCTGGGCATGTTTCATTTGTTATTACACTGGGTTTACAGCATTTCATGGGGTTCATCTGGGGATTCCTGTCATTCTGCTTACATTTACCCATCTCCACTGTTCTCATCATCCTTACAATATTAAAATAATAAGTATCATATATAGTTATTTTAAATTTTCTGTCCAGGCACCTCTGTCATATCTTAGCCTGATTCTGATGACTTCTGGGTTCCCCCTACATGAGGTGAGTCCTTCCTTTGTCGTGCAGTGTTCTGCGTCACTGAAAGGTGGACATGTTGAACAGCATAGCAGAAACCCCACAAGCCTTTGGTGCCGGGTCACCATGGCAGTCTGGCTCAGAGCTGGGCTGTCTTTAAGGTCTTCCGTTGACCATGTTTTGCTTCCCTCTCTCCTCCTCTTTGGCTTTATCTACTGTCTTAGTAACTTTCTCATGGCTGCCACACCCACCATTTTACAGAAGAGAGGTTTATTTTGGCTCGTATTTCACTCCGTGGTCAGTGGGCTCCAAAGAGGAAACAGCATGGCAGAGGGGCAGGCAGAGGGGAACCTGCTGGCAGTCTGCTAACTGGGAACCAAGGAGGGAAACCAAGTCACACCCGTGACCTACCTCTTCAGACCAGGCCCCACCTCCTAACAGCACTCCTAGTTGCGTCACTCGTGGGATCCAAACACCTTCGGAAAGCTCTGCCTGTGAACTCATGGGGCTTTGGGATATTCATCATAACACCCTTGTAGTTCTCCTCAGAGATAGTCTGGTCTTGCGGATCTTTTCTCATCATAGTGGGCGTGACTAGTAGAGTAGTAAGGTGTGGTGTGGTGGTGAGATGCGTAGGAGAGGAAGTGTTCTATAACTTGATGCTTAGGCTTAAAGTAAGCTACATCTTGGGTGTCACCTGCAAGAATACAGTCAACCCCCTTCCCTGTGGTTTCACCTTCCATAGTTTCAGCTACCACTGTCAGTCTTGGATTGAAAACATCGAATTAAAGTTTCCAGAAATAAACAACGCACAAGTTGTACATTGTGTGGGACTTTTGAGTACTGACTGCCCTTGCTGCCCAGGGAGTGCACCCCGTTCTTTTGTCCAGCGTTTCCACGTGGTATACACGCTCCACCTACCTGACCCCTGTCAGCCATTTTGGTTCTCAGCTGGACTGTCCATACCATAGCTCTCGTTTTCCAGTAACACTTATTTTATGTTCCAATGGCCCCAAGGCCAAGAGCAGTGGCGCTGCAGTTTTACAATATATTTTTTATTGTTCTATCATCTCATTAGTAATTGTTAGCTCTTAGTGTGACCAATTTATACAATAAGCTCTCGTAGATAAAGATGTGTCTTACCTTGGTGATGGTTACCATCCATCCTCCAGCTCCGCACAATTGCTATTTTGGTCTTTCCACCAGCTATGTCTGTGTTCTCTTCTAATCAAAGTAAGCAGATCACAGATTTAATTTCCTGCTTATGTCTTGCTCTCCTGACTTTGAGATCAACACTCAGTTTTTTTAAGAACCCAAGAAAAGTTGTTGAAATTCAGTTTACCCAGATTTTATTATAAAGGTGAAAACAATGATGTACAAGCTCTTTACATGTCAGGCTGAAGCTTGGAGAGGCTTGTTTAACAGCTCATGCAATTAATGTGCTTTATTGAGATATAATTATATGCCATAAAATCCAACTGTGTTTCATGTACAATTCATCCATTTCAGGCAATTTTCAGAGTTGTTTATCCAGCACAAGGATCCAGTTTTAGAATATTTTCATTACTGCCTAAGCATTGTTTGTGCCTGTTTATAATTAGTCTTTACTCTTTCTTCTGGTCCTGGGAGACCACTGTTCTGCTCTCTGTCCCTGTGGAATTTTTTCTCTTCATTTATTTTTACATGTACATAATACTACCCCATCTAACGATCAGAGTTTCTATTGTTTTCCAAGACTTTTTACAAATAAGTTTATTTTTTCTTTTGACACTTTTAATCTATCTATTCCCCTTATTTTGCAATAAAGAGTGAAGCAAGTTTGTACACCAATTTTAAAAGTAGGTTAAATACTAAATTTTTTATTAAAGATGTACTTTTCTTTAAGTATGGTGGCCTTATTCTTGAGTTAGCATGCCGTCTGTAACTTTTACAATAAAATAAACATTTGAGAATTATGAGTATATAATATTTTCTGTAAATAATTAACAGCTCATCACCATTTATTGAATAATTAAAAATTTAGTTTTATGCCAAAGTGATGTATAATGAAATTACTTCAAAAACAAGTGACCTTGCTTCTATGACTTAGTGAATGGTGATACAGCAAACATCTACCAATTTTCTCTAGAGCAAGCTGCATTTGGAGTGATAATGTCTTTTTGTTGTTGTTGTTTTTGTTTGTTTGTTTTTTTGAGACAGGGTCTCACTATGTAGTTGAGACTGACCTGGAACTCACTATGTAGCCCAGGCTGGTCTCAGCAATCCTCCTGCCTCAGCCTCCCCAGTGCTGGGATTACAGGCATGCACCACCACATCCGGCCTGGAGTGATAATGTCCTCTTAAATAAATGAGTTTCCATAACACAGCACAGTTTCACACTTATGTATGTCTTAGTTGTGTGTTAACTTACTCTTTGACTGCTAAAGTATGTGGCATAGGGTGACTTACATGGCCCAGAAAGCCTGTATTTATTTTATCTCCATCTTCTGTCTTCTAGCTGAACTCCAGAAAAGGGATACTGACCCTTAAATTAACAGATACTGACTGGAATCAAAAGCAGTGCACATAAATTGGCTCTTGGTTGAATTCTGGACAATGCAGAAATTAGGAGCAACACCAGGTAGCAGCCTGGCTTATGAAAAGAACTCTGTGAGAGCTAAGGTTTGTAAAAGATTCAAGCTAAGCAGAAACAATGAAACTAAGGGAAACCTGATGGGAAATTCCAGTGGTCTCCAGAGGTCACAATAGCTGTGGCATAAATATGGAAACAAGCAGTGACCCAAGGTGGAGGATCTAATACTGTAAGTGATGTTCTTTATAGCTCATGCAGAAATTGGTTTGTTGGCTGAGATTATACTTTTCACACTCAGTTATATTTCCTTTATCATTGTGTTTTCCTTGAAATCTATTCTTATCTTTACTCAAATGTTCTTGTGGTATGAAAACAATGACTGCCCACAGCTAAGAAATGAAATATTACAGAATATTATTGCATAGAAAAGGCAAGGGTCCTCATGCCCTGGTCCACTGCTCAGAGGGATGTGTTTTTAGCTGTTCTCATCCTTAACACCACAATTATAAATCCCACTCTTATATATCTATTTGTTCACTGAGGAAAGGAACAGGATAGCTTGGCTCTTTGTTAGTGAAAGATATATTTTTTAGACTATCATCTCATCCTCAGACAGAATTGTGTTTCCTAAGCAAATGCAGGTTTTAGTTTTATTATGAAGTGGAGGTCAAGCAGAGAACTGTGCCTGAAACCTGTAAGTTGTGCTTAATAAATGAACAAATAGTAAATGCTGTGGGTTAGAGACAGCCCTGGGCACTACTTTGCGTTCACAGCTCCCTGACCCCACACTAGTGCTGACAGCAGATAAATGAGGTCTGAAGCTGCCCCAGTGCTTGAATTCCTACATAGAAAACTGCAACCTAACAACGTTCTTGCAAGACACAGCTGAGTCTCAGCCTATCATAACAACCAAGCTTCAGTCAATCATAAGCTGCCAACTGATCAGCCCATGCCCAAATAAGGCAAATACACCTCCATCACCAAATTCAGCTTCCTCGGTTTCTTCCCTGCTTCCTCTTGCTGTCTAAATAGTTTTGCCAAAGGTTGACTGGTGCATGATGCTGACTCATACAAGCGTATTATTTCTTTAAACAAACTCTGCTAAATTTAATTAGTCTAAAATTTTTCTTTTAATACAATTCTTCTGAATTTGATGTAAGTGCATAATTTTATTTTTCAATGCTGAGGATCAAACTCGGGATATTGTAACATATTAGTCAGATGTTATAGCACTGAGCTACATCTGCATATCTTATGTTTAATTTTATGTATCATTTAAATAGTTAGCCTATCTGTCTCATTATAGATTAGACTTGCCTGTTTCCTTAAAGCTTTTCTTTAGATAAAGAGGGGAGTGGAGGAATGGGATAAAATTAAGTTAAATTTTAGAAAAAGAAATCCAAGAAGTTATTTCATTTCAGCATAGATATTTGATCTCACTTTATAAAACATGGGCATTTCTTCATAACTGCAATACCACTTCATACCATATAAAATTATTAGTAGTAATTCCTTGGTGTCATCGTAAACAATATTTAGAGTTCACAGATCTTCTCAAAAATGACTTTTTCTATTGGTTGTCTAGGACAAGAAAAATATGTTACCCACATTATATTTTGTTCAATGAAATTATTTTATTTATTTTTTCAACATATGCTAAGATAAATGCTCAGATTTGCATGGTGACAGCACCATGGTCACATTAAGCATTTCTCCAGCTTCTCTGGTATTACCTGTGGGTATACATATCAGTGAATACTTGGGGACTTACCAAATGTGATTTACCAATGGATCCCTTCTTTTGTATTTATTAATTGGAATTCTTTTGTGAAAACAGGCTTTCTCTTATCAGTGAAGGCATTATCCAGAAATACAGTTCACCCCTGAATTGAAAAGCAAATGCATAGCCAGACTATTTCCATGAGTGAGATGTTATTGCCTCTATTTGTTCCCAGTTATGTTTGAATTAAACATCTATTTTTGTACAGCAAATCACCCCAAAACACAGATGCTGCAAACCAGGAGTGTTTATTCTCTGTGCAGTTCCTCACTCAGGGAAGGTTGGGCCTGGGGTTGCCTATGTGGGTGCGGAAAGGTCAGGAGTTGGAGGGAAAGTCTGCAGCACCCTTGGCTGAGAACATAGGGTCTCACCCAAAGACAACTCGCCGCTCATTTCAGTTGCCCAGAGTTTGGACTGGGACTTTTGCTTTAGGGGAATCTCATTTTTTCACTTATTTGTATATCGTAGCTGTAAGTGTTCTGTTTGGGGAACAGCTGGGAAAATTTTCTCCCACTCTATAGGTTGTCTCTTCACTCTGTTGTTTCTTTTGCAATGCAGAGGCATTTAAGTCATCTATCCTGATGAACAAATAAACATTTACACAATGGAGTACTACACGGCTCTAAAAAAGGATGAATTGGCATCATTGGTAAGAACATGGATAGACCTAGAGATCATAACACTGAAGGAAGAAAATCAGATGAAGGGGTTAAGTATTGTGTGGCTTGTCTAATATGAGAGATCCAAAATATAAATAATTTAAAGAGCAAAATGAAATAGCATGGAGGGGGTGAAAGGAGGGCAGGGAAATGGGGGAAAAATAAGAACCAAGACATGTCATGTAATGGTACAATATCCCAGTGATGAACGTAACTGCACTGTGTACCTGAAATGGACCAATAAAGAAAAAAAGAGAACAAAATAAAAGAGACATAGTAGAAAACAAGGAGGAAGACTACAGATGGGAAGGGGGTCTGGGGAAGGGGAGAGGGGGAGGGAGGGGAAGGAAAGGAAAGTAAAAATGATTAAGACCCAATATGTGTCTGTCCCAGTTTCCCGAGATGAATGCCATAGCCATGCCTGTCAAGTATATTCTCGTACAAATACTTACTGAGCCCTGTGTTCCTCACTGACTGCAGTTGCATTCGGACGGCCAGGCACTGCAAAGCCGTTTGTTCTTATTAAGGACTTTCATGCTCAGAGTTTCCCTTCTAATGGGGACCTCTACACTGAATGGTGGGCCATTTGCAGGGCCTTAGTCTTTGATGGCTCCCCTGCTTTCTGGCACAGTAAGGCTCTACAGGGCCGATGTAGCTCCTGCCCTAGCAAAGGACGAAACACTCACCGAAGCACTCTGATGATTTTAACTGGGGAAATGCTGTTTAGAAGCAATTAGTTTGTCACAGCCTTTAGAGTTCTGCATCCATATCTAGAAAACATGCAATTTAAAATAAAAAGTAAACATCTATATTGATACATCTAAAAGTTCATATGTGCTGATTTCCCTTAACCTCATTGCTGTTATGTTTCCTTTTTTCCTCTTACATGAAATCACTGAATCCTGAAAATGGTATGGTAACAATTTGTATTTTCCTACCATATAAGGAAAATAGCTTCAAAATAAACTAATATCACAAATGATTCTATTAGTGGATTTCCTTGCGGGGCTGTATTTGACAAAGATATAGAGGCAAAATATTTTATTATCTTGAAAAGTCATTTATCTTTGTGAATGTCATCACCTACATATGCAGTTTGATTAGTTTCATCATTTTAAAAATATAATCGGGCCTCCATATTCTGATGTCCTGTATGTATGGATTGACTCAGCCACATAGAAAATATTTGGAAAAGTTTGCAGGTGTGCAGAAAATATATAGACATTTACACTTTCATTGTTACTGAAACAATACCCCATAGCCACTATATACATGGTATTTACCTTGCATTACATATTACAAGCAATCTAGAGATGATTTGGTATATAGGAGGATGTGTGCGTGTCTCGCAGAGATATCAGGTCCTTTATGTAACAAATGAGCATCTGCACATTTGGAGTACAGAGGTAACACACCTACTGAGGGAGGATGATGTTTCATAACTGCCTATATATCTTCATAACTGTAAACATGACGGATTTTCAAGTCAATATATTTTGGAAAATATTTTTTTCAGAGAATTTTTACCTTCATCCCCGTGCCTTTGATCTTCTTTTGGAATTTTAGTTTATTACTTCAGATTTTCCTTTGGAAGACTTGCATTCTTTTCCACCCTTCACTGTTCGCATTCTCCTATCCAGAGTTATGAAAAGTTATGCTATGCTGTACAGAAAGTTCAGTCCTTGCAAATTTATAAAACCTTCCAGTCATCAGCTCATATCAAAGATCTGTCTCATCCCATTTTATAGATGCATAAGGTAACACTGTCCAGATCTCTCTATTGTGATCACTTTTGTATTTTTAGACATTTGATGTCGGTCTAGTTTTTGCTCCCACAAAATAAAGTTAGAATAGAAAATATTACCCTTGGCCAGTGTGTATTGCTACAGTTTTCTGTGAGTAAAATTACAAAAGCATATGTTGTTTTGTTATCAAACTGCTCTCCATGGTGAGAGCATAATTTCCTGTTCTCACCAGGAAAACCCAATCACTCCAGCTTCCTCCCCACCCACGTGCACAGAGCCCGCTGTCATGGTTTTGCCTTTCTGCCCCTTGAGAGATGCTCAGTATTCTCCCAATGCATTTTTATTTTCCTTACCCTAACCGAGTTTCTGAGCTATCTCCTATTTTAGAAGTTATTATTTCACTTTTACTTTTTAAAAATTATTTCAGAATTATGGAGAAAGTGTAAAGAGAGAAAAACTCACACATAACTTTCATTAAACCTCCTTTAATGTTCCTCAATCCTGGTTAATTTATCAAAACTAAACTCTTAGCATTGATGTGTTATCATTATTTGGATTGTGACATATTTTTCCACTGTGCATTATTTTTTTCATTGTTGCAGGTCCCATCCAGGATGTCTTAGTCTCGGTCTTCCTGTCTCTTTTGTTAGCCTTCCCCTGTTTCTTCTAACCTTGGCACTTCGAAAAGTACAGGGCAAGTATGTCGCACCGTGATCTTTAACTTGAGCTTCTCTGGTGTGGTCTCAAAATGGGACTGAGCTTACACTTTTTAGGGGAGAAGCTCGCAGAGGTGAGGCTGTCCTTTAAGGAGGGCCCACGATGCCAGCCTGATGTTAGTGGGGACAGTAATTTTGCAGCCTTGGTTGCCGCAGTGTCAGACAGTAAAGCTCATGTTTCCACTGATTTTCCTTTATTTACTAGAAAGGAACCATGAGGCCGAACTACGGGAGAACGGAAGCACCTTAGCAGGCGGTGTGGGCGCTGCTGCCTTCCTGTTGCCCTCAGGGCCTCCGAACTTGAGCAGCTCTCCCCAGCTGTTCTCTCTTCCTGCTGTAGAGACCACAATGGGCTGCATGTGTCCCTCAAAAGCGAAGCTGGCAGTGACTGGAAGCAGCTTTCCTCCTCTTGGAGCCCTTGGCCTCTCCACAGTCCTGTGCTTGGTAGTTACAGCTTTGATCCTTCACATCCGTTGAGCTTCTTCTGTCCCTGCCACCATCCCTGAAGGCCCAATCTTCAGGGGACCCTCAGGAAAGCTCCACAGGGGGCCAGAACATGAGAAGTTGGTCAGGGCCACTGTGCTCACTCCTGACAGGATTCTGGTGAGGAGGATGGGGTGTTACAGAGATGGGGTGGGACCGCTGGCAGCAGACCCGGGGAGCCGAGCTTCAATCTTTGCCTGGAGCAGGCTCCTGACCAGAGAAGACCGTCAAGGTTGGGAACGGACAGCTGGAGTTTCCAGGTAAGTCCTGGACTGCTACCTCTGACCTTTTCAAAGTGGTGTCTATAATTCCCAGGCTAACACATTCACCTGGAGAAAATATAGAGACTGCTCTGCCTCTAAGTATTTCAGTCTCCTCAATGCAATATTATCAAATCTGGGGTCAATATTACCAATGAGCTTTTTCCATGCTCTTCATTCTATCAGGCACATTGCATATATTTTAGAAATGTGTCATTTCCTTTGAGATCAAAACTTGGCAATAGAATCCATCTTTCTTGCACACCTCCCCCTCGTCATGTGTTCTGGACAAGATTCATTGAGTTTGACATAAACTAGGCCGAGATTACAGAATGTAGAGCTTCCTTTGTGGGCATTCTATGATTCATCCCTGCTTGAATACGGCACAGAAGCTGTTGGAGGTGACACCTACCTGGGACCAGACCTCCCTTCCAAGGAGGCCGTCTGAGACGTGATCAGCTGTGTCACAGGGACACAAGGCTGTGTCTCCACCTCTAGCGTAGACAGAGTTCTTGATTCATGAAATGTGAATTTTGTTCAGGGACTCATTAACATTCTAAATATATTTTTTATTCTGCCACATTGTTGAATTCCTATTTTGCAGCAGCAGTGTCTGCTTCCTTGTTCAACCCACAGTCTCCTTTCAGGGCAGGGCTCTTCCTTGTTATTCACGAGCATATTTATTGTTCTGCAAACACCATGAAACCCTATGCAATGCCTTGTTTTTGAGGACATGTATTTTATTGTGCAATTTTAATCAGAAACATGTGGTTCTAAATGGAAAGAACTGCTAATCAAGAAGCAACAACATTCTCCGTTTGAACTCCCTTGCAAGAAAACTCATTACTTTTCATGAAGTGGCTTCAGTGAATAGAAGCACCACATTTAAGGCCCGGCTGGTTGTGAGGTCTTGCATTGTTTTCCTCGGATATCACTCTGTTCAGGGCAGCTGCATGGTGGACTGGCTGCCCATGTGAGCACAGCTGTGAAGATCAGGTCCCTTCGATGTGTACGGCCAGGCAGAGTGATGAGTAAGGCTTTCCTGAACACGGGTAATGAACAAACAATGGATGATGCGGGCGACCAGTGCATTTCACTGAATGCTCTTGTTCAGAAAATATACTCCCTAACCTACAGTGTGTCTTGGATGCAAATTTTGCATTTTGCCACTCTTCCATCAGCCTAGAGTGGCCCTAAGCATTCCAGGACACAGCAGTGTGTAAACCAGAAGCTCACCTTGAGAAGCTCACACAGGGCCGTCTCCTCTCTGGGAGCCTGGGGTCTAGGACTGTGCCTTTTCCAGTGATTGACACCACAAACGAACTGTTCCCCGCCAGCTTGTCCTTGGGGTTAGACACTTTCTCCCTCCTGCTCCTTGAATCAAGTTGTGATTTCCTGAAAGGTCTTCATAGTGCTTTTCACCCAATTTTCTTTTCAGCTCACTCTTCAAATCTGCAGATCTCCCTGCAGGCAGAAATGTAGACATTCTCCCAGAGTCCAACTTTCTCCTCTGGCTGGGGACCAGCTTACAGAACTCACTGCAGTGATAATGGTGCCTGCCTTAGGCAAGAAGGCAAAACTAGAGTGTCACATTCCTTTCGCTTCCTAGCTGCCTGTCTTGGTCCCAGGAGACCTCCATAACTGTGAGGTTTTTGTCCAGAAGGGTAGAACATAAATGTATAGATCCCGTACCATTTGTGTGGTTGAATGACTCCCTTTGGGCTCGCAGATTACACCTGCTGATGTCTGAAATTTCAAATGTAGTTCCTCTGTGTCATGCTCAGTTCACTTCAGCAGCATGTAATTCCTCCACTCAGTTATGCTCACAATACAGCGTGTGAAATACTATAGGCACTCAGGTGGGCTGTGGCCATATATTAAGGCTACCAACTTGCT